GCAGCTACGGCAAACCTCCTGCAATAAGGAACGTCAGGTAAGGAACGAAGCCCTTTTTTGACTACCTGCCAGACCACCCCAACCAGACCCGAAGACCCGAATTTCGGGTTGGTGGGGGTATGGGTTCTATATGTGTGTTCTCAATGTTCCCCGACCCCCCCCCACACTCTGGAAATGGAGGGCAAGTTGAGGCCTTCGGGTTGGGTTGGGGTGGTTTGGTGGGTGGTGACTTTTGCAGAGAGCAAAAGAACCACCCTCATAGTAAGCACCGCGACGAGAAAGGCGTTTCGTAGACGCACCCAAGGAAGGAATCAGGGCATGGCTGTGTAGTAAACGCCCAGGGCCGTTTCCCAAACGCCAATGATGGGGGTCGGGATGGCTTTTCCTCCCTTTGTTTCGGCACCCAAAGAGCCTGGGTGCAAGAGGAGGGCTAGAAGAGCAGCCACGGAGTGACCCAAGGAACAGCGAGCCCCTTCCGAACCCAAAGCGGTCACAGCTCAGAGGCTTGACTGTACGCCGAGGACTGGCAAGCCAGAAGGACACCTTCGAAGCCTTCGCTGTTGACGGCACGCCAAGGCGCCAGCTGGCGTGCAGCATGGGAAGAAAGCACCATCGGTTCGCGGCGCACCAAAGGGCAGGAGCGGGCACCCCGCGGGAGCGCAGCCCATCCCCCGTACCGTCACTGCGCAGGCGGGTGGCGGGCTCGCAACAGCGGGCTCGCCACAGCGGGCTCGCCACAGCGGGCTCGCCCGCAGCGGGCTCGCCACAGCGGACTCGCCCGGGCGGTGCCAGGGAGGCGAACCATGCGGCGGCGCTCCGCCCCCGGGCGGTGTCGGCGGCCCGGCCGTCGCCCCGCGATGCCTCGCACGCGCTCCTGAAGTCGCCCGCTCAAGCCGCAGCAGGAGGCGGTGCGCCCTGCGCTCGGTCGCTGTAGTCGGCTCTTCTGCGGGAGTGCTCCGTGGCCGTGGCAAGCGGGCGAACATGCGCCACGCCATGGGAGAGCGCGTCCTCGCTCGCGCCAGGCAGACCGTCGATAAAGCACCTGGCGGGCGTGGCATTCCCGCTCGCGCGGGGCAGCTGTACCAGAGGCGGCTCCCTGTCGGAGTGCTCATTTCGCGGCCGTGGCGCCCCCGCTCACAGAAGGCAGCTCCCCTTTGGAGTACTGCCTGGCATCTGCATCGTTGCAGATTGAGGTCAGCTCCTCGCTGGAACACCTCTCAGCTATACCAGCAGGGATCGTTGAGCGAACATTGTTGCTGAGAGCGACGGGAAGGACGAGGAGGAGGACAACGAGACCTAGGACGAGTGGGATGCAGCCTGTCTGAGACATCAAGATGAGCATGATAACGAGCACGAGGTGGTGGAGGGAAGGAGAGGAGGACGAGAACAGAACACGCAGACGGCACTGCTTCCGAATATACTTGCGCGAAGCGTCCCATATTAGCGAAACCCGGCATGCGTTCACGACAACGTCGACACGCCACGCACGCGCGTGGTGAGCGAGCAGGTCCGAACAGATACAGTCAGATGCGCGAGCTCCCGTTAGGCGCACAGGGGCCCCGTCCAATATCATGGGTCACGCCAGTGGCGTGATGGGGCGCATCCGCCTTGGCGCTGCATGTTCAGGTCTGTGTAGGTCCCTTTCCTTCATATGACCGCCAGACGGGGTGTAGATCGGGAGACGCCCCTGCAGTGGATTCTTTCATGCACGGGGAGCACCTCGGCACTCTTGGCTTGACCTGGAAGTGTTCACATCGGACCTGAAAACCGTCTGCCAGTGCGCTTCCTCCACTGTTTCTTTCTCAACACAAGCTTGCAGGAGTCCCAGCTGCATGCATGGAGAACTGGCCCACTGCTCCACACACACACACACACAAACATACACACACACACACACACACACACACGCACACACACACACACACACACACACACACACACCTACGTGCCCCTTGCAACCGTCAAAACAACAATTGGTTTCCGATGCATCCGCATGGCGTCCTCTTATCCGCATGGCTTCCTCGTATCCGCGCAGCCCGGTTTCCTCGTATCCGCATGGTTTCCTGATATCCGCAAGACTTCCTCGTATCCACATGGATCCTCGTATCCGAATGACTTCTTCGTATCCGTATGCCGCGTGGCTTCCTCGTATGCGCATGGCTTCCTAGTTTCCACATGGCTTCGTCGTATCCACATGGCTTCCAGTGGGGAGTAGAGTAGACCGAGAAGGGCAGAGTATAGTAGAGGAGAGGAGAGGAGAGCAAGTTTGATCAAAGTAGAACAAAACAGAGCGGAAGTAGAGTTGAGGAGAGTAGGAGTAGAGTAGAGTACGTCGAGTAGACTGGAGTCGGCAAGGGTAGGCAGAGTAGTGTAGAGCAGACCAGAGTAGCGTATGGTAGAGTAAGGTAGATGGTAGAGTAATGTCGGATATAATAGGGTAGAGTGGAGTAGAGTAGGGCAGGGTAGAGTAGAGTATACTAACACAGCGTAGAGTAGAGTAGGGTGGGGTAGGGTAGAGTAGAGTGGGGTAGAGTAGGTTAGAGTAGGGTAGAGCAGGTTAGAGTAGGGTAGAGTCGGGCAGAGTAGGGTAGAGTAGGGTAGACTAGGGTAGAGTAGGGTAGAGGGTAGAGCAGAGTAGGATAGAGTAGAGTAGAGCACAGCAGAGTACAATGGAGTGGATGGTAAAGGAGAGCCGGGATAATCAACTAGAGTTGAGTAGAGGAGGGTAGAGTAGAGTGGGGTATATATAGAGAATAGCAGAGTAGACTTGTGCAGAGAGGTAGGATCCAAAGTAGAGTGCAGTCCAGTCCAGCCCAGTCCAGTGCAGTCCAGCCCACTATAGCCCAGTCCAGTCCAGTCCTGCCCAGGCCAACCCAATCAAGCCCAGTCTGGTCCAGTCCTGGCCAGTCCAGCCGAATGAAGTCCAGCCCACTCAAGCCCAGCCCAGCCCAGTCCTCCTCCTCGTCGTCCTCCTCGTCCTCCTCGTCCTCCTCCTCCTCCTCCTCCTCCTCCTCCTCCTCCTCCTCCTCCTCCTCCTCCTCCTCCTCCTCCTCCCCCTCCTCCGGTCCAGTTCACCAGTCCAGTCCAGTCCAGTCCATCCCAGCTCGGGTCCAATCGGTCCAGACCAGTCCAGTCTAGCCTCTCCAGTCGCAGGACAGTCCAGCCCATCCCAGGCCAGTCCAGTCTGCTCCAGTCCAGTCTCCTTCAGTTCACTCCAGTTGACCTTATTATCAATCACCTGATATATTGGGCCCCTGCACTGGCTATAATGTGATATGACTGGCCCGTTCAGGTCGACCTGAAAAAAACAGTGTCTTCACTGGACACCGCAACAAGCCCATGTGAACTCGGGAGCGCGGGCGCCTGAGCGTTTGTAAGTCGGCCTGAACATCTTCACGTGCAAATGCTCGGGAATGGACAGAACCCCTTTAGTAAAACGTGGTTTAGTGAAAACGACCTCGGGCCCAAACCTGGCGGACGCGAGCCTGGAAAATGACGGCCGCGGCGCCCTCTCGAGAACCGAAAACAAACAATTCACTAATCGACGTGTCAGGGTGGGGGTTCTGTCCCCCCCCCGGCCCGAAGTACCGCTCTCATCGCACGCAGCCGCCAAGACACGTGGGTCCGGGAGAAGCTCCACCGTCACCGGCACGGAGGCGACTGGTCCGAATTCGTGAGAACTTGCGCAGATGCGATATATAAGAGGATCGTGCCGGAAATGTTCCAAGCAAGCGGGCATCACAAAGACGACGAAGAGGATGAAGACGACGAGCAACAGTGCACGAATCGCAGCGACAAAAGTGAAAAACGGCGACTAACCAAACCTCAATCGACGCATGCATCCCACACGCGGGAGCTGTCAAAAAACTCGAACAAAACCGTTCACGCAGCTTCTCAGCGCAAGGGCCACATGGCAAACATACGGTAGGTTCGTGCGGCGTCGGCGCGCGCAAAGGTTCTTGACACCGAAGCGATCGTTAAACCTTGAACCGATCGCGGCCCCGATCGTTCAAGGTTGAATTCCGTCGGGCCCTGTGGCGTTACCGTGCCCCTCAGTACTTCCGCGTCGTTCCATCATGCGGAGTTCACACTTTAACGCCTTCGCTAACGTCTCTGGCGCACCACCGCCGCATGAACCTTCCGTACGTGCAAAGATCAGTCTACCTCGAGTCCTGGTGAGCGAGACGCACTGCCATGACCGCCCTGACTTTCAATTACACGTCGGTCGGAGGAAGTTGGTAAAACATGAAGGAAGGTAGATCAAGCAGATCGGGTTCAGGCCCTCCCAGAGAATAACCAAATACACAGCCTAGGCATGCCGAATCTTGAAGCAGGAGGGCCCTCGAAGTAGATGGGGATCTGGGCATCCAGAAATACCCCCTTTCAACGACCAGCGTGCACGAGCCTGCCCCCAGACCTCCCAAGTCCCGAGCTCTCGAGCCCACCTTTCCCGCGGTGCTCGCACCGAGGGGGCGGCTCTCCGGTCCCCCAAAAGGCACGAGGAGGGCCACCCGGGGGGGAGCCCGGGCTCCGAGGCATGTTCTCAGAGAGCAGAGCACGGAACGGCGGCCAGCGTCCCGACCTTCGCTTCGGGACGTCAAAGACCCGACCCGACCGAGGTCTCTGACGGCCCTGGCCGGGCCCCGGGACCGTGAAAAAACGATTCAGGGTGAAAGACGGGCCCTGGGGAAAAGGTCGGGACTTCTGGGGACGCCGTATTGAAAAAATCCGGACGTCGCATGTCTGGGGTAACGTGGCGAAGCAGGCCAAAGGCATGAGGGGAAACGTCAGGGGGGGCCAGCTCAGGGGGGGAAGCATCGAGCTGGAGTCCGCGACACACCGCCAGTAGGGCAGCGATAGGCCCCGATAGAAAAACCGCACGTTCCTAGGCGGGGTGGGCCATCATGCCCCTATCGGCGTTGAAGGGGCGTTTTGGGAGTCGATGCATCCCCCCCTGAGCCTGCCCCCGTTACGTTGCCCCCGATGGCTCCCGCCCAACC